TTCAGCACTGAGGGTCTTTATTAGTCCCTGGGAAAAAACTTCTGGGGTCTGACAGCTCCCAGGGCTTGTGCTTGCTACTTCCTTTCTTCAAGATGAAAAAAAAAAATAAATAAATAAAAAAAAAATCTGTGGCTGCCCTTTCAGATATGGATAATTTGTGCTGCCTTCTCATCCCCTCTGTTCTCCCGCTCTGGTCCCTGTGGCTTTGACCACACTGGATGTGGGTCTGAGCTGGCTCCTTCAGCCCCCTGCTCCTCTGGTGATGCCCTTCTCTGATGGGAGCCCGTGCCCTGCCTGGGGTGCTGTCCTGTCCGGGAGGGATGTCCTGGGTCTCCCTCCAGCATCCACCCTGTGCGGGGTCCCTGTGTGTTCCCCGGGGGCTGCAGAGCCCTTGCTGCCGTGCGAGCTGATGGGCAGCTCTCCTTGACAGCTCTGTTACGCTTGGCCAGGTGCCATTTGCATTTCTTTTAGCAACCTGTCATTTTTTGACAGTTCCCTTACGAAGGTTTTCAGCCCCACTTTCCACCGACCTGTTCTCCCTTGGAGGTGCTTCTCCAGAGATGCTGGGCAGGGGAGAGTGGCGGTGGGCACGGGGTTACATGTTGAGGGCGCCGAGCTTGCAGTGCCCAGCCTGGTGGGCTGCAAGATCCCTGGGGCCTTTTTTCCATCTTTCTATTTCCATTTAGGGAACTCAATTTCTAATGTGACTGCAGAGAATCCTGGGCGATGGAGGTCCTGATGGCAAACTTCTCCAGCGGTAATTTTTTAGTTGGTACATGGCCAATTCCATGTAATGTATGGAGCTGCAGGAGCCCAGGGAATTTGGGAGCCGAATCCCCATGGTGTCTGTCGGAGTTCAGCCTTGTGTGTCTGCAGGTTTCCAGTTGCTATGAAGGATCTGATCCCCTTCAGCCCTCCAAAGGATGGGAGCACAGGAAACATTTGGCGTTAATGTGAAATGCCCGTCTCCCCCGGCATTAAACAACAGCCACCTGCACCTCCAGGACCGTCCCAGGGCCTCTGCACCCCCCATGACGAGCCCCCCAGGAGTGGAGGGCAGGTCTGGTTTCCTTGCTTTGGTCTTGGCTGCAGCTCTGGTTGTCCCTCCAGAATTCCTTCTGCTCCGTAACTCCGCTTGCTGCAGCCTGGGCCTGAGGTTTCCCAGCACAAGGGCAGGGATGGGGGGCTGAGGGTGCATGTGTGGGGCTTTCTTAATCCCCAAAGCAACATTTTGAGTGTATTTGAGTGATCCTGAAACCTCTGTACCCCACCCTCTGGTAGGAAGAATGCCGTGAGCCGTGTCTGAAGGATTTCAGAAGCACAGGCATGAGTTTCAGCTGCGCTCCCCTGACCTGCGGCTGGAACGAAGCTCGGGAGGGTTGAGCCCCGGTGATTTCTGCCTGTTCCAAAGCTCTGCCTGGCCCGTTGCCTTCAGGCGTCAGACCTCGCTGTGGGGTTTGACCTGACACGTGTGCACCTACGTAGGCTGGGGCCAGCGTAGGCTGGAGCGGAGCAAGGGATGGAGGTTCTGGGGTTGGGAATGGGGCAGGGTGAGGCATCCTTTCCAGAGGGAGGGAGGGAGGGGAGCCGCTGGTTCCCAGGTTTCACCGAGTCAGCTAGTTCCCTTCACGGTGCAGACCCCACCGCTGGCCCGGGAAGGGCTGTAAATATTTAGATAGCCCTGCCTGTTGGTTTTGGCCACGGGCCTAGGCCCACATGATGGGGTTGCAGAGCCCCCCTCCTGGATCTGGCTGCCCGCCGCCTCCCTGCCATCTGCTCGGCTCTCCCCACCCCTGGAGGAAACGGCAGAGCGGGATGCGGGTGGTACCCCTGCCCCCATTCCCATTGGTGCTCCCCGTGGGTGCATGTCCCCAAGGCAGCACCAGGCGATCCCCTCGGCCCTTCCATGGAAAGGGCCTGCTGGTGGTTTCTCTGTGTTATTTCTTTGAAGGACCGTAGAAATCAGAGCTGGAGAAGACCCATGAAATAACTATTTCCACATGCCCTCACCCACACAGCTGGGCTGGGAAAAAGCCTGTCCTCGGAGCAGCCTCTGCAGGACCACAGGTTGTGGGAGCAAGTGAAGGGGTGGCTCCTTCCACCCCTTCACTCACAAAACAAAATTGGTTTTGTTCAGGCTGATGCTTCACAGTGGGTGCTCCTGACAGGTCATGGTGCAGGGCCAGGCCAGGAGGGGAAACTTCAGACCAAGTGTAATATTTTCAGAACTGCCTTAATGATTGAAATTGTCTTCCAACAATCACCTGAGAAATTGATGTTTGGGTGCTTGTGGTAGCTTGGTGCCTCATCATCTCCAGTCCCTGTGGAAACCATTGCTGGGTGGCCAACTGCACCATTCTTCCCTTTCAAAAGAGCACCTGAGTTATGCTTTCTGGTGTCTACTTTGTCTCTAGGACAGCAGGGATTAGATATTGGCAGAGACCAAGATCTGGGATGGTTTTGGCCAACAGGAAGTGGGATGGGGCTGTCAGTGAAGGACAAGGGATATTGACAGGGAGAAAGGAAGCCAGTTTTACTGAGACAGTGTTTTTATACATACTGAGGAGCTGTGGGCTTCCTCATCTTTTCTGCTTTCCACAAGTAGGTGAGGAAATAGCCCTGGAGACCTTTCTGCTGATCAAATGGGATATGCAAGAAACCATTATCCAGACTCCCGTGAGATCTGCATTTCAGCAAAGTAGGAGCGAGCTCATCGGTTGGGAGAAATGCTCTTTCCCTCAGTTGCAAAGGGTATAATAAAGTGTGGTGTGCCCTCAAATCTCATGGCTTTATTACCCTTAAGAACTTTGAATTCATTTTGGCTTGAGCAAATCCACATCCTGATTAAAATCCCAGTCTAATAAGCTGTTGACTCCAAATAAAGGCAGGATAGGAATAAACAGTGAAGAAAAGTTGGCTCTTCCTCCTGCCCCAGTGGAAGGCTTTCTCCAGGCAGGCAGCCAGCAGTGATATAACCCTGTAAAGTGCTGTAGACTGGTAAGAAAGCTGGGATATCAGCTGAGCTTCCAACCAAAATGAGCTCATGCTGGCCTGCCGGCAAGTCCTGGGGTGAGGGTAAAGGCAACTTGGACGCTTGCTTAGCGTCCAGTTAACGCTTAGCTTGCTGATGGTGGTCACAAAGGCCACATCATGTGACTTAACCTGTTTTCATTGAAAACTATGGTCAGCCAAGTTGTCCGTGACCTGTTGAGGTCTAGGAGCATGTGCTCTGACAGGTATTGTGCCTGTCCCAGTGCCACTCTTGAAGCCATGTTTGGTGGTGAGCACAGTGTCTGTACCTCTCTTGTAGCAAATCATGGTCCATCCAGGTCTCCACAGCTGCTACAGATGCTGTCTTGCAGGGGCCCTCTGCCTTCCTTGAGTTAATATGCAGAAAGCGTAGGTCCTTCAGCTCAAAAAAAGGATTTGTGAATGAAAGGAGAGGATTGTGGTTAGGCTGAATAAGCCCAGTGAGGCGATGCCGAGCAATTTGGATTTTGTCTGGGAGATGGCGGTGGTGCCTGTGACACCCAGGCAGCTCCCTGCAAGTCAGCAAAGCAGTCGCAGCTGTGTTTGGGCTGATCAGCTGGTTTAGGAAAAGTGGTCGTTGAAGTGCTGGGTTGAAGGGACTGAAGTTCTTTATTTTAGCAGTAAGAACTTGCTTCATCTTGCTGCCTCTTTTTCCATCGTAATTTGGAAGTGATTCCACTGGGAAGAGTTTGTGGTTCCTCAGGAGTGTCCTCACCTTGGCAGGTCATGCTGCATCAGCCCTCTGAGCAGCAAAGTGACCTTTTTATTAGATTTTTAGTGCAGCATTCGAGTAGGTTTGATAAGCTCAAATAATTTATGGCTGTGCTATCCATTTGAGTCTCCTGGTGTTTGAGTTTCAGTATTGGGCTGGGATGTTGGTCCCATTCCAGTATCTGGAAAAATGTGCGTCTCTGTGGGAAGCCTTCTGAAACTCTTAAGAGATTCTGTTTTAAATACCAAAAGTCAGCATCCTGAGAGCCTTTATGCTTCATTGTGTTAACTGGAAATCTAGCAGGTCTGTTCATCTGAGCTTCTGAATGTTTTGCTCCTGCTTCAGTGAATCGATACTTGGATTTGTGGTGGAAATAAGCAGGACATGGGAATTAGAAGAAAAATTGAACATGTTGTTATTCTGCTTAGTTAATTTGTTATCAGTTGGTGAAGGCTGGGGATTGCATCATTTGAATGTTACGCTGGTATCTCATCAAGGGTCATCTTTGGTTTCTGTCAGCAATAAGCAAGAACATTAGATATGTAATTGCCCGACTATGTTATTTGCTTGTTGTCTTTCATAGGAGAGTAGAAAACCTGGGTTGGGCTTTATTTTTTTGCTTCATCACCAGTAAAAGCCTGGTCATATGGTTTGTGAATAACCTGCAATTACTAGGATTGATTGTGTAGCATTTTAAGGAACAGGAGGGTAATTTGCACCCCAGCAAGTTTAAGTAAACAGGACCTCAGAGCTGCTTATGGAAGAACAGACGGAGTTTTGAACCTTGTGGGTTTGAGTTCTTGGAAAACCCAGCCCCAGGACTCAGGCTGGTGGTTGGTGTGGTCACTCCAGTCTGCAGTTTTGGGATCTTTACATCAAACCTGATGCTGCAGCCTTGGGTGGGATGGCCAAGGCAGAGTTATTAACTCATAATGTGTCTTGTGTGGAGAGACTTTAACTCCGTTTTTACGTAGAAGTGCCCTTTCACATTCAACATATGCCCCTATTTAGGGATAGGGAGCTGTCTTAGTTCACAGCTGTCAATAAGCATTTAGTAGACACTTAAGTTGCAGCAGTGGAGCTTAATAATTTAATTTTACATGTTTTCTAGTGTTGCTAAAATGACTTTAAGTGCTCCCATGAACTTCCCTGGTTGATACCCAGCCATGGGGGCTGTGTTTGCAGCTTTGGTAGCATTTGGGTTGTGATGCAGGTTATTGGGTTGCTCCTCTCTGATTTCTTCCTCTGTTCCCTGCAGGTGTACATTATCAAAGTCGCCTGGTCCAATGGGTCCACAGAAGTCATATACCGACGGTACAGCAAGTTCTTTGACCTCCAGGTAAGCATTTTGCCAGTTCTTGGGGTTTTGACATCGGAGGGTGGAAAGCTGTGGTCAGTTGAGAAGCGTGGTTTCTGCCTTGTGCTAAACAAGCCTTTTGTAATCTACCAGAAAATGTTTCGATCTGAGGAAATTTAAATACACTTTTGGACATCCTGGAAAAAAGCAAGAACAGGGCAACTTCAAAAGGTGGACTCTTGGGGTTAGAGCTTTGCTGTGACTCCCTGGATTAAATGGACGCAGGGCTGCGTAGGTGTGTTTGAATTCCTCCAACAGAAAGCTGTCCAAACGGTGAGGTTCTTGTTGGGGCTTTTTGTTTGCTTTGGGGGGGAATTTTGTTAAAGTTAGACCCAAATTCCATTCCTTCAGAGCTAATACCGTGCCTTTCCCAGCTGCTATCACAGCAAAACAGGACTGCTGCTGCAAAGCACCAATTCCCTGGGTCCCTGTCCCGCTGGCTGGCGTTTTGGGGAGCAGGCGCTGGGGAAATGGCCGGTGCAGAGCGGTGCCAGCCTGGAGGGCAGCTCTCAGCAGCTGCTTCAGCAATCACCTCCTGGTGCAGGGGGGGAGAAGGGAAAAAAAATGGAGCCGGGAGGGAGGGAGGAGGCTGGAAAGGGAATTGGGACAGGCTGGGTTACAGAAAATCGAAGCTGGTGTTCTGGGCAAGCAGGCAAAGGGTGTTTTCCACCCCCTCCTTGGTGGAGATGAGCCAAGGGGTCTGGCTGAGCTTTATGAGCCAAAACACAAACTGAGCTGCTGGAACGGGCTCTGTGCAGATGAGAAAGGAAAATGCATGAAGTGATCTATGGACCAGCAAGCAGCTGCCAGACAAGTCACTGGCACGTCCGTCCTGGCCCGTGCATGGGACTGGGAGAGGAGCTGGGCAGCTTCTTCCTCCAGCAACCGCTCACGTGAAGGTGAGCATCACCATATGCTTTATTTGAAAGGGTGCTGGGGTTGCCTGGGAATGAGGATGCCTTTCCTGAAACCCCTGCGTCCAGACACAAGGACACTGCTAAAATTACAGTGCATTTGGGGCTGCCCAGTGGGAACCCAGGTGGCTTTCCCAGGTTCAGCGGGCTTCAGGTCAGCCTGGGATTGTTCGATGGCTGCCCACATCGATGCTGCCCTGTCCCTTGCCCAACAAAACACCTTCTGCAGAGCTGTGGATGTGGCCAGGAGGGTGACCACACTGAGTAAGCCCTGGCCAGCCAGTGAGAGCCTGGCTTTGGTGAGGCCCTGTGTGTCCTTCCCCTGCCCCGTGCTGCTGTCCTGCAGCATCCTGCCAGGCAGGGTGAGGTGAGGTAGGGTGGCACGGGCGGCTGCTGGTGCAGGCAGGGGTTAAGCTGTGTGCGGGCGCTTGTGTAACCAAGGAAATGTTAAAGTAAATAAACAGGGAACAGCTGTTGGGTAGCAGCCAGGGATGGAAGGAAATGGAGCTGAGCGCTTCCTTCTCCTCAGCATCTTGTCTTCGTTGGTGCTCCAAGGTGGTGGCCAAGCTCACGCCATCATTTGCTGCAAGGGGGGCACAGTCTTTTGGGGTTTATATGTGGTAAACCAGTGTCTTCAGCTCTGCTGTTTGCCTGGGCTGTCTTGCTTCTCATGGGAAAGGACAAGTAGGGAAATAGCGGCCATTCTTCCTCTCTTCCTCCCCTTCTATCTTGGCTGGAACTGTGCACACTCCTAGATGGAGAGCGTCATCACTGGAGGCTGTCTGGAGCCAGAGAGTCAAACTGGCTCTGCAAAACACCCTGGAGCATCTTTAGAGGCAGAGGTGCTTTATATTGATGTCATGGTGCAGATGGGAAAGCTTAAAGCAAACATCTCCCCCCTTCCCTGTTCCCTGCAGCTTTTTTTTTTTTTTAAAAAAAAAAAAATAACCACTCCTTTTTGGCTCTGTTGAAAGAATGAATGAAATTGTGGTTTTTCCCTTCCTTCCCCCTTATCGCACATGCTTCCTGGTGTCCTTATTTTAAACTTGCGGTGCAGTACAGTGGAAATTGGATTGAAAGGCGAGGAGTGAAACAGATCCGCTTAGCGCAGTGGAAAAAAATGCTCTAGGTAGGCTTGGTAGCACTTACTGTTGCCGTTGCTGGAGGCCTTTATTATATGACTGTCGGATGATTCGAGGCCAATTTTAGCTCTTTAGGCAGAAATTTTCCATGCTGGAAATTATTCATGCCTCCAATTATTAAAAAAAAAAAGCCCCAACCCCCCAACAAAATAACTGATTGGCTAAAATGGTTCGGCTGCTTCTGAAAACATATTAAGAGGGGAAAGTATTTTTCCCGGGTCCAGTTCTGATGATCTTTTCTACTCACTGGAGGAAGAATTGGAAACTTGAGTCGCAGGTGATCCCTGTGTCAAGAATCTGTCTTTCATGTTATCCAGTGAAAACCCATCCAAATTTATTCATACTTAGGGCCTTGAGCAATCGCAGTACATGCATGTTTGGGTAGAGATATTTGATAATTTAATATCTATGTTCCCAGTGATTCTGGCTGCACTTACCATGCTCCTGCCAGAAGCTGAGCAGGGTTTTGTTTTTTTGATAGCAGCTCTGGCCACATTCGGGTGAAGGTTGGAGCACCCTCTTTTGCGGTTGGTGACCCTCCTGCTAAGCCCAGGCAGGAGCACAAGGAAGTCATTTGATCCAAGTGGGAGAGAGGAGAACTTCTTGGAGCAGGAGTGAGGGCTGGTGAGGACCAGGGTGGGGGCTGATGTGATGCTGCGGTTCAGAGCAGCCCAGGCATGGTTGTTGGGGATTTTCTCCTGATATTCACTGTGGGGTCACAGCTGAATCACTTGTCACCTTCTGTTGTGGCCAAACAATTATTTTAGGAGTAAGGCCAAGTAAAACACATGCACGCTTACTACTGACAGTCTCACCAGCCAGTCTGCTCCCACTGCAACCGGAGGGCAAAGTGTCCTTCCCTCCCCAGCCAGGCAGAAGTGACGCTCAAGACACAAACCACCAGCTCAGCCAAGACAGTGGTGAAGCCTGGAGCTTGCCCAGTGCTGGTCTCTGTCTCCATCTGGATGCAGAGACATGAGACCAGCCTCATTCCTGTACTGGAATGGGGAATGCCAAAAGCCACCTTGCTGGTCACAGTAATGCCACAGGCTGTGCTCTTGTCAGCTGGGAGCCTTCAAGGTTTTGTCTGAATACTGTGAACTTCCAGAGGTCTTCCTTTTGGCTGTCACTGATACCTGAGACTGCCCTCTTCAGCAAAAGTCCTGGTTTACAGCTCATCGCTGTAGCAGCCTTCCCAAGCACTGCCCTACTTTTCTCTTCCAAGGGTGACAGGACCTCCTTTTTCTGCCCAATTACCCATTTTCATTCCTTTGACCACATTATGGGCCATCCCATGGTCATGCAGAAGATTGTCACCTCCTCTCTAACAGCTGATGATCCACACTCGTTCCGCAATTCAGCATCTGTGTCCCAGCACAAGGCACAGGCTGCTTCCTCCTGGTCCCAGTCCAGCTTTTCGAGCTGATGAAGTGGTGGCCCTCATCCCTTGAGAAACGCACAGGTCATACCCTTTCCTGCTCTGGGGTCATCACAGGAAAGCTCAGAGTACCATGGAGGTGGTGGAAGTGGGAAGGGAATGCTTAAACTGAGGGATACCTCCACCTGCTATGTACTGCTCATTGCAGGAGGAAACCTTTAGGGAGCCGGGCAGCACTCAGGAGTGTTTTTGCTGTGTAGATCCTCTGTGCCCAGGTTCCTGCCCCCTCTCCTCCTTGCTTTCTCCATAAATGTTTCCCATCCCACAGTGATGTACATAAGAACAACATTTTAGGGATTAAAAAACCCAAACTCTAGATGAAATTGTAATTCTGAAGTTTGAAACCTCGAGTCAGTGTATGACTTGTAGTAAATTTGTAATTACAAATACTAAGCTCAGTTCTGTGGGAGTCTCTTGGCTGGAGGAATAATTTCCTTCGAATAGGATTGAGGCTCTTTCGTAACAGTCGGCGTGCCAGATGTGAGCTATTGGGAGCAGATGGATGCTGTTCCTAAGAAATAAAGGCAATAAGATTGATGCTTGCAAGGATGCCAGTTGTATTCTGGACACTAATTGGGGCTGGCAGGTACACTGGAAATGTTAGCTGGCATGGAAGCTGGTAATCAGATATGTGAGCGGCTGTCTCTGGTGGTCACAGATAGAGGATCGGGGTCTTGCGTGCTTGAGAGATGCTTCCAGCCCTGCCGGCGGGGGAAGAGCCGTGCAGTGACTGCAGGGCTCCCTTGGATCACATCGGATGCATCACCCGGGAGGAGGTTAGCATGTCTTTTGGAAGGATCCTCTTGAAACCATTGGCTGTAAGGAGCGACACTTGGTTAGAGAACAGATACTGGCTTGTATTTTGTGTTTTTTATGGAAACCCCAAAAAAGAAACATTTTTTCCCCACTCTGTAATTATGAGCTCATCAGCCATGATGGTAGTCATTTCAAGTCTTCATGTGACCAAGAGCCACAGTTGTCTTACCACACTCCTAAAATGTCCTTACACCCAAACCTGACCCTCTTGTACCTTTCCCACTTTACCCAACCCCTGTGCTTTCCCCGGGCAGGAGCCCTACTCCGTGTCCTCAGCATTCTCTGCCTTTCTGCTGTAGCCACCCTCTCCTCCACCAGTCATCTTTGCCTTGCTCTTTTCGGTCCTGTCTTATTTTGCATCCTGGACAGCAAAGCTCACAAGCTGCTTGTGAGCCGTGATGGAGCCAGTTCTCAAACGTCCCCCTTGGAGAAGGCTTTGTCATTTATGCCATGTCCTGCCTTCTCACCACCAAAGCCGTAGCTTCTCCTCTGGCAGCCAGCTGCAAGCCCTTAAAAGTCAAATTGCCATTCAGGGTTGCCCTCCCTGGGGAAGGTTACCCCAGGGCTTTTCCCCTTGCAGTCAGAAACCTTTCCTTCGGTCTTTGTCCCAGCTGAAAGCTGTAGGAGGAGAGGGTGATGCTGTGTGGCTGCTCCTCTGCATGGAGGCTCAGT